GCCCAATCTGGCTTATCCCCAGAACTAGACCACACAAATGCTGAAGAATGCTGCAGCCTTGCCTGACCCGGCTCACCCCAGTTCTGGCTCCTGTGCCCTGCAGGAGCCCTGGAATAGTAGGGGAGTTTCCCAACTTCTTCTACCAGGTTTGTTTCCAGTTCCGTATCTCATGCATGCTAGCGGGGGCAGTGTCCCTGGTTCGCACAGTCTACCCTCAATCCTGACCCTTGAATGTGCTGGTGGGTACTGCAGTCTACCCAACCTGGTCTTCTCCCCAGCCCCAGCCCCAGCTCCCACGAGTGTCAGGTGAGTTCCGCAGTCCAGCCTGGCTGGGCTGGTCACCATCCCCAGCTCTCCATATAAACTGAGGTTGCTGCAGTCCCACAAAGTGGAACCCCTAATTCCCTTACAGAATCTGCCCCAGATGGCAGCAGGTACCTGTAGGCCAGCTTAATGTGGCCCACCATTTGCTCCAACACTCATGGGAAGGTACTGCAGCCATGTCCAGCCAGGCATGCCCCCATATGCAGTTTCCACATGCGCCAGTGGGCACAGGCAATGCTACTTAGCCTTGTCCAGGTTTGCTACCTGGGCGGGTGCCTTGGCCTGAGACATGCCCTCACTTCTCCCCGCCCCCGTTCCAAACCACTATGTGTCAGTTTTCTCACCCACCTGTGAGTACCGTAGCCCAGTCTGTGGAAGACCATAGAAGGCATCATTCCTTGTCCAACATGCCTTCAGTTGCTCCCACTCCATTATGTCCCCAGACCCCTTCCCAGGGCAGTCAGCAGTGCCTATCCCCCAAATCCGGGGCCAGGGTGGCATATCCTGGGCTGGTGAACTCTTATTATTAAAATATTAGGATCTGGCACCATGGTGCTACTGCTTAGGTCAATCATCCCAATGGGTGCTGGTTCAAGTGCTAGCTGCTCCAATTCCTATTCAGCTTTCTACTGAAGTGCCTAGAAAAGCAGGAGAGCATATCCCTGGAACCCAAGTGGGAGAACCGATGGACTCTGAGGTTCCTGGTTGTGGCCTGATCCAGTTCTGGCCATTGTAACCATTTGGGGAGTGAATATGATGGAAGATCTCTTTGCCACTTTGAAACAAATCTTTTTAATTAAAGGAGGAAAGGTGAGTATATCTGTCTGCTAGTTATGATGCCAGTAATGACATCCATGTCCCACATCAGACTATCTGAGCTTAATATCCATGCTTGGATTCTTCTTTCTTTATTTTTTATCACAAAGTCAGATATACAAAGAGGAGGAGAGACAGAGAGGAAGATCTTCTGTCCAATGATTCACTCTCCAAGTGGCAGCAACAGCCAGTGCTATGCCGATCCGAAGCCAGGATTCAGGAACTTCCTCCAGGTCTCCCATGCGGGTGCAGGGTCCCAAGGCTTTGGGCCGTCCTCAACTTCTTTCCCAGGCCACAGGCAGGGAGCTGGATGGGAAGTGGAGGTGCTGGGATTAGAACCGGCGCCCATTTGGGATCCTGGCACATTCAAGGCGAGGACTTTAGCCACTAGGCCACGCCACTGGGTCCTTAATATCAATCCTTGGCTCCTCACTACAGATTTCTGGTGATGCAAACTCTGAAAGGCAGTAATGAGAGTTCAAGCGATTGGGTTTGCATTTCATGTAGTAGTCAGATTGTTCCTGGTCCTGGCTTTGGCAATCTGATCCTGGCCATTGCAGAAATTTGGGGAGTGAACCAGTGGATGGGAGCTCTTGGATTTACAAATAATGAAAACTAAGAATATCTCAGCAGCCTTAAAGGTTTGTGAATGATCTCAGCAACAGCAGAGTATAATCTCATAGCATGTTCTTTCTAAGAGCTAGCAGGTTCAGGAAGCTAATCTTAAATGAGTTAAGATCATCTTAAATGATCTTAAGAGAATTACATTAGCTATGTAATTAATGCCAACTTAATTGTCAAAACAGGTAATATTACTGAACAGACCCAATAGGAGACAAGGCACACAAAACAGCTGTTTTTGTTATGTGAATTCACCTCAAAGCTTTGATGACGAAATGTGCAACTACCTGAAATCCTCTTTTCAGAAATAAGATTTTGCAGAGTAATGGATGCTCACAAATTGAGGTATCGAGAAGACAGAAGCCAACATAATTCAGAGGGGAAACAGTTCTAAGGCCTGAATTCAAACCTAAGTGTGCAAACAGAATAACTAAAAAAAATTAGGACCAATTTAGTAAATAGTCACGTGTCTGAAAACAAAGGAAAGTCTAGAATGAAAAAGTAGTTAAAAGGTGAAGCTGAATGCAACAGTTCAAGATGCTACTTGGGGGACTGGTGCAGTAGCCTAGCAGCCAGTTCTAATCCTGGCAGCTTCACTTCCCATCCAGCTCCCTGCTTGTGGTCTGGGAAAGCAGTTGAGGACGGCCCAAAGCCTAGGGACCCTGCACTCGCATGGGAGACCCATAAGAGACTTCGGGATCTTGATTTCAGATAGACCCAGCACTGGCCATTGTGGTCACTTGGGGAGTCAATCATTGGATGGACAGATCTTCCTCTGTCTCTCCTCCTCTTTGTATATCTAACTTTGCAATAAAAATAATTCTTAAAAAAACAAAAATGCTGCTTGGGACAAATCCAGCATGTTGCTTTTTGGGATACTCAGGACACCACTGCCTTCAAAATGTTTTAGAGGACCAGGGGACTTGTCTTCCAGTGGCTAAACCAATGAGGTTTGTGAAGGTCCTCAAATGCCCACCAACCAGGCTGGGCTTGAGGCTAGATGTTAACTCCTCCACACCTCCCACATGGAAATTGGTTCTATGTACTCAGAGTATCTGTTTTTCTAGCTATATCAGCAGGAAGCTAGATTGGAAACGGACAAGGGCTCAAGCCAGCAACATCATCACAAGCAGTAATTGAGCTCACTGTGCCACAAGGCAGGCCTCACAAACTGTTTCCACTCGAATCACTTGGGATGTTGAAATGTCACTCATGGGCCTGTCTGACTAATCCCACTGACCTAAAGAAAACAATTCAACTTCAGAACGGCCAGAACCAGAAAGACCCAAATGTGGTATACTCGCTCATATGTGCAGTCCTCATGAGGACCTTCTTGAAGTGACTTTCTACACACATTGTGACAGTTTCAAGGCTCACATATTGCATGAATACCTGTAAGTCCCACTGCTTAACTTCGTGTATCTCGATTATTGCAATGAGCTGAAAAGGTGCTTCTTCCAAGACCTGAAATCACTTCTGTGTAATATTAGATTAAGCAAGCCTCAATTCTAGTATTTCCAATGGACTATATTCATGGTCTTATTTCCTAATAGACTATGCACCCAGCATGAAATGTGTTTTGTACCAATTCTTGTGATGGGAGACTTTTTACTCTGAGCAATAATTTCCTTCCCCCATTCAAGGAGCTCCTGGATCCCATAATTTACCCATTCCATTCAGTATTTATAAGATCAAATATTTTCATGCTCTGCAGGTGGCCAACATCACTATCATGAACTAGTCTAGCCAGTGCTTTAGTCTACAGTGACGTCACTTGACAATTTTACCAACTGCCAATGAGAAATTATATTTCCAGAGGACAACTCTAATTGGAGTAGGAAATTGTCTTCTAGATAAAAATAACACCTACTGCCATTGAGGTGCTCTGAGAACTCAGGCTTCTGGCCTACCTGCTGCTCACTCCCAAAGACTGTGTATTTGAGCTCGGCCTTTGGGAACCCTAAGGAGCACCAAAGTCCTTAGCCAGCTTAGGAGTCCCTTTGAAATGGTACACATATTATACGTTTTTATTTTTTCTAGACAAAATTTGTAGTTTTCAACCAACTCCTGAAAAGGGAGCCAGAACTCAAAGGTGTAAACTGTCTTAGGGGAACTAAGGCACAGACTACTAAAAATCAAGCAGCATTCAAATGGACATTTTATATTAACATCTTAAAAAAACGGACACACTAGCCCATCTATAGAACTCAATTGCAAATTAAACATTAAAAAACAAGTGCAAAGGTATCAATACATGGAAAGGTGAAATCATTTGAGTACAAAAACCACATGGAGGTTGCTGGTTACATTTTTATGAAAAGTTCTTCAAATGTTTCACATTGGAAAAACTAACCCTGAGTTATCTTTCATTGCCACTTTCTTTCCAGGAAACCATTCTCCAAATAAAAACCATTCAGGTGTTTGGCACTAGTATTATTCTCATGTCAACTGTAAGCAAACTTAAAAATGTTTTCAACTCTATCTGAAATAATTTATCTAAAACACACCACTGTACTAACATTTCTAGTGGAATTATATCCAAAGGAATTACACCCTAATTCCAGTATGCTTTAGCACTAAGAAATAGGTTTTCCCTATTCCTAGCTACTTATAGACAATTTATTTGATGCTCTATTAAAGATGGAAATCTACTCTTAAGGAAAATGCGTAGCATTTCTATAGATGAATTTCTGCATTTAATGGTACTTTTCTGAAGCGGGGTTAGGTACAAATAAATGCTAGGCCCATGTTTGAGACTCCTGACAGTGGTCTGATTTGATCTGCCTGGGCTTCTGCCATGTGGGTGCCCAGTACCATCCTCAGCTGGCCAATTCAACCAGAGACCGTGTTTGTACACCAGGAACATCACTGCATCCATACAACCTGCCATGCTGTTCCTACCTCTGTTCCAAGGAAAAAATGGATCAACTATTTTCCTTGGAGTCCAAAGTTTGTTTAAGTATCAGTGTACACTCCAAGTGAAATTGTAAGCACCTTTGAAGTGGAAGAAATTAAAGCACACACTCACTACAGTGACACATACAACATCCACAAAGAACTATCAGTAGGATCCTATTAAGAATCACCTATCACACATTTCTTTAAAATTCATCTGTTGTCTAGGGTGTCAAGTTATCCCTCTACATAAAGTGCAGCTCTATTAACACTTTATCATCATCCGCAATAAATATACATGTTAAAAATGAGAACACATGGGGGAAAAGTCAACACCCAGGATAAAGGATTTAATCCAGTATTTATTCCACACTCATGATGGTTCTCTATAATCAGAATACAGGCCATAAGAACAATCTATCAAATAATCTGCTGATAGTCTTAAATAATGCACTGCAGCATTACTTTTAATACTCCTCTGTTCTACATTAAATTTAAAAACGCAAACAGCAATCTTCATAATTAATAAAAAAAGTTTCAAATTTTAAAAAAGGACACTATATATCAAGCTGTTTCATAATTTAAGTATTTTCCATTTATAAAAATGCTCTGGAAGCTTGAGGCTTGGGTCTGTTTCTCTGTTCATGTGCCCCACCTTCTCCCAATCACATATTAGTATCGGGAAGCTGCAAGAATGCTAGGCTTTAGACATTAATTTTTTTTCCTTTAATATAGTATTTAAAAAATCTGAGGAAGAATTCAAGGGGAAAAAAAGAGTACATGTCATGTATTTCTTAAAATAAAAAAAAGGAAAACTAAGCGAAAAACTTTAGGCATACTAACAGCGTCCCTTTGAGGTAGAATGCTAAAAGGACTTCTGATCAAATCACAGCCTAATTTAAACCGCTGCATCAGAAACTAACTTCTCATAAATTCTCTCTAGGGTAACTGTGGAGAATATTAAGTATAACATTAACAAGAGCCTTTCAAGATAATATACATTGGACAAGAATGTTAATCCTACAGCTGCTGCTTTCACGTACATTGAAAGCACTGAATTCTCCTACAATAAACATCCAAGACTTCCATTTTCAAAGTCTTTAGCATTCTATTATGAAAAGCACAGCCATGCTAAACTTCAGTACACAAACCATAATCCCACACCTAGAAAACAAAAATAGAATTAGTGGCAGTTTATTGCCTTATACAAATTTAACCAATGTGGCAACCATGCCAATGGAATTAAAACATTTTTAGGACATATGTACAGACTGTACATTTTTAAAAACAAACAAAAATGAAAGAACGATCTGTGCATTATGTATCAAACTGAACAACTGGGTGGACATCAATGCAATAAATGGGATTACAAAGGCACTTCCCTACACAAAAGAGGAAATGAAAATGCAGCCTACGGGGAGCTTGAAAGAGTGCATAACTACTGCACGATCTGAACATTCGGGAGGAAAAAAAAGATTTAACCAAACATTTAAAGGATTCAATGTGATCCACTTCGAAATTTTTTTTCACACAGTCTCATCTTTGTTCTTCTGTTGCTTTTCTTGGCTCTCCCGTTCTATACTTTGGCTCCTTCCACGATCCTGTTTGTCTGACTGGTCCTTACTATCACCGTAATCTCGTTTGTGGGAACGTTCTTTGCTTCTGCTACGCTTTCTAGATTTTTCTTTGCTGGGGCTATGTTCCCGTTTCTTTGATTTTTCAACACTGTCAGTTCTTCCTTGACTGCCGCTTCTACTTCGTTTATTTGATTTTTCTTTACTTTCATTTTTATGTTTACTTGATTTTTCCTTGCTCCTGCTTCTACTTCGTTTCCCTGCATTTCTACTTCTACTCCTGCTTCTGTGTTTCCTTTCCCTACTTCTACTTCTACTGTGCTTTTTCTCTTTCTTCGAATCTTTTTTGTCATCTCTGTGCCGCCTCTCGTCTTTGTCTTCTTTATGTTTCTTCTCTTCCACCTCACCCCTGCTTCTCTGCTCCTTGGACCGTTCTCTCGACCGTTCCCTTTCCTTTTCTCGGTCGGCTCCTCTTTCCTTATCATAGTCTCGATCTCGTCTTCTACCTCTCTCATTTTCTTTCTCTCTTTCCCGATCCCTGTCCCTTCTATCTCCTTTCCTATCACGACTTCGACTACGGCTTCTATGTCTGTCTCTACTCCTGCTCCGTCTGCGGTCTAACCCCCGATCAATACTTCGGGATCTTCGCCTTTCTTTTTCCCTTTCTTTGGCTTCACGCTCTAGACGCTGCCGTTCTTTTTCTCTTTCTAATTCTCTATCAAAGCTAGAAGACCCATGGGCCTCTCGATGATGACTCCTACTTCTTGATCTTCTTGGAGACCTCCGTGGAGTCAGTGATCTCCTTGGAGACCTGTAACAGAAGAGAAAAGGAACTTCAATGAATAAAGTCCAAAGTAAAAATCTCACTGTAAAAATTTATCAGTATTACTCAGGTCTCCAGCTTACGTACATGATTTTTCATTTACAGACGTATAATTTTGTCGAAAACACCATGAAAGAAAATGATCTTTTGAGGGTAAAGTTGGCAAACTAACAAAATCAACAGTATAAACAATATTTCCCAAGAACTTGCCATTAACTTCCAGTAACCACAAACTCTGTAAGAAAGCATATTAAAAAATAACATGAGCTACCTTGAACGTCTGCGTTCAACATGTCTGTCTATTTCCTCAGTCCCTTCCTTCCCATCTTTCTTGATTTTTCTAGGTCGAGTTTTAATCTGTTGATCAATATTTTTCTGAACTGGAACTGGAATTCTTGGAAACAAGGTAGAAAACCACTCCAGTTTTGTAAGAAAAGACCGCAGCATTTCTCCAATGGTCATTACACAGCCTCCACCAGCCTTCACATCTAGGTCCTACGAAACACAAACGATATCCTAGCCGTCAAAAAAAAAGTATTTTGGCATCTATATGAATATTATAAAAACATTACCATCTTTAGAATCTCAAGTACAAAAGAATTCTAACAGAATTTCAAAATTCTGTATCCTAATCTGGTAATGAATGATACAGAGAAATATCTGGGCTTAGTGTGTGCATGCAGGTATAGCCTTTTGGCCGTAAGGGAACTGATCCCACTCACTTAAGACATGAAAAGCCCCTTACATGACTAACTGTGTGGAACAACTGACTTTATTTACAATCCACATCATTAAGCATGTGTTCGTGAACATATCTGCACACATCATACCTAACTCTATGACCTAGCTGCACATGAACGACTATAATCTCCTGTCTAAAGGGTATCTGTTAACAGCTGTAATATAAAATGAAGCCCTATTAAAATTGGAAGCAATAGCAAACCAACTGCCATGAAGCAGTGAGGTTTCTAATTTAGTTATGTAGAAAATAAATAAATGAACAAATAATTGGAAACGCATAATCCATGATGACCATTGTCTCTGAAAAGGGTCATTACCGCATGAAGGCCTTCTTGCTATGCCCTCTCACAGCTCAGGACATGTTAGTCAGCTATTGTCAGTCCCAAACCTATAGTGCAAGCACACAAGGAAAGTGAGATTTGTTATCTAAACAGGAAAACAACAGCTAAAGGTAAAACTGCTTGCACTCACACACATTTAAGTGTTCAGATAAACAGTATTTCCAAATATAATCGCTGCAGATATCTAAGGAAGAAAACAATAAGTTAGCTTATAAAGGATCTCAAGTTTGCAAACAATTAAAAACATTAAATAAAATCATTCAGAAACAAACCTAGTAAAACACCAATTATGAAGAGGAACTACACTTTCTAAGATGGGAGAAGGGATTCGGTACTAAAAATAAAACAAGTCTCTTCTGAAAAGAAAAAAACTCTTTAAAGTTTGTGATTATCTTCTCTAATACCCCTTGTTCCTCACGTTACAACACAACTCAGTCAACAGAATAAAATCAAAACTGTCCACTAAGAGTTCTCCAGATGTGTGTGCAGTAACACACCAGTTTATACTAAAAATGTCCTTTAATTCAACAAATCCTTTTAACTGTGTTAGACTACCAAAATACAGTATTCAAAGTTGGCTTTATTAGTCTTAAAATATAAAGTAATGGTGAGACTTGACATATGAACTATATAGCCTGCTATCAAGCCCAGTTTGAAATCCTAGTCTTCCCTAAGCAAATTAGAACAAATAGGATGTAAATCTGACCTAGGCAAGTTTCCTGAAGCAATTATTCTTTATCAAACATACTTAACTGGAACAGGATGGCAAAATACACTTAGAATTTTTAAAGACATTTCAAAAATACGTATAGGGTACGGAGGTCATAGAAATAAAACTAAAAAAAAAGTACTTAATTTTGCCACTTAAAATAGATCACCTGGACTGGCTACTCAAGTCACACCAATGTTCAGTTCCACACTTCTGTTCAGGTAGGAGTACATGTATCCACAGGTCAGTGTGAAGAACTGAAGAGATGCAGAAGGGGGAAAAAAGCTACAGCTAGTATTCTATTTGTCTCCACATTAACCTCAACAATGCCTCACCCTCAAAAGTCACTTTATATAAGTGGGGGCCAGTGTGGCAGCTCAACTAGCTAAGCCTCTGCCTTGCAATATCAGCATTCCCTATGGGTACCAGTTTGTGTCTCAGTTGGTCTACTTCCCACTCAGCTCCCTGGTTATGGCCTGGGAAAGCAGTGAGGGATGGCCCAAAGCCTTAGGACCCTGTACCCTCGTGCGAGACTCAGAGGGGGCTCCTGGCTCCGGACTGGCTCAGCTTTGGCAGTTGTAGCCACCTGGGGAGTGAACCAGCAGATGGAAGATCCTTGTTTCTCTATGTAACTCTTCCTTTCAAAAAAAATAATAAATCAATCTTTAAAATGTTACCATCAGCAGTATTAAGTCAGGATTAATACAACATTCAGAACATAATTAGGAAAACTTTCAATAGCTACTAGAATACATTGAAGCAGTTAAATTGTGTAAGAAAATTTAACCTAACATCTATAAAAACCACATCTTAGTATCAATAGCATTTCTAAAAGTATCTAACTGAAACAAACTCAACCACAGAAAAGTATGGCAGACACTGAATCTCTAATAAAGGGTATTAAAAATAAGAAGTAATCACAAGAAATGTATCATTACCCTTGCTGACATACCTCTTCATCATCAAGAAAGGATTCAAACCAGTCCCATAGATCTGTAGGTGGCTGTGTATACCTAGAATTACATAAGATTTGTTAAGTGTATATCAATTAAAATCAAATATTTATTAGACAACCAGATAAATGTATGCTTACCTTATATACATAAAGCCAAGGGCTCTAATATATGGTGAATCTGTGTGTGTTATTAGACCCATCACTTGCTTGCGAGTCAACTTCAACGTAAATAATTTGTATAATAGACAAAATGCTGTAGAAACTATTCCTCCTGTTCCAACACCTCGAACCTTCAGGGAAACAGAATTAAGAACAAGCAGCAAAACAATGAATATATATTTAATACCAACTAGTCGGTTAATCCTGTTAGCTATCAATATCAAGCCATAATCCAGTACTAACTATGGAACATAATAAAGTAACCCTTTTTCCTAATCCTTCTCACTTTTCATCTAAATGTCTGACCAATCATTTTGTAAATATAAACTTATTTAAGAATCACAGAAAAACTGAAAAAAATGCACGTACTTCTACTTACCCCTCCGCACATCCCAGTCTGGCCGGCTGTTTTCCTGCTTCCTTTCTCCCATGGTTCAACATGTGTGACCTGAAAATAGAAAAGAGGAGCACAACAAACATTCATGCTTCAGATTTTTTAAGGCTCTGATAAAATTAAACCCAAGTCCACAATAGAGCAGCTCTTCCAATTTATGTTATGTTTACTCACATTAAATAAGTAAGTCATTTTTGGAAAAACTGCTTAGACATCTAAACAGTATCAAAAGAGACACTAGGGTTTAACAACTGTTAACAGATTAGTAGAACAGAAGTCCTATCACACCAGCTTACAAAGAGCTCACAGTTACCCAAAGTCAGGCAATTTCTAGACTCACACATCATTATGTAACAATATTTCAACTCTGCATCTTATAAGTTGCTTTAAAAACACAAATCTTTATTCTAAAATAATTTACTCTCCACCTGAAACTTAAAAGTACTGAGATAAGATTTTAGTTAGAAAGTTTTACAAACAACCAAGTTTTCTTATAATTTTATATCCCCAAATTTGCATTATAAAGGAAAATGATCCAGAAGGAAGTTTGCTAGAAAAAGTTATTTGATATAAAATTATGTGTCTTTCACTTCAGCATCCTTTTCCCACAAGGATCAGGCTAATTTCTGATTAAAGGTGAAATTACAAAGGCCACACTACAAAGATCTTTCTTGCTGTAATTTATTTTCAACCTAATTACTTGAACTTACCTAATTTTTACTCAGAATATCAACTGTCAAAAGCTGAATGTAAATAGTCATTAATATATGCCAAGTCTAATCAGTGAAAAAATTATCCTACTACGAGGAACTCCTTATAAAAACAATTCCTTAACTAAAAATAGTATTTTTACTAACAAAGAGCCCCATTAGGGTCTTTCGTATTCACCTTTCATCAACTTGAAAATGACCTGTTCTTCCATTCATTTCACTCTACTACAGCTAAAACCATATTTCCACCAACACATGGCAACACTTCGCAGTCCATTCAGTGGCTTTAGGCCAAAAAATATGCACTTAAATTTGAGTGCTACAGTATTTGGCTCCAGGACTCTGGTAGTACTCTAATGTTTCCATTCTCTAGCTTTCCACATAAAATTCGCTTCTCAATTCCTTAGGGCTAGCCCAAGGAAGGAGCGGGTACAAAACAAACTGCAAAACCTGAAGCCTACAGATTTTAATGATTAACTGATCCAAACACAATAGTAGTAACACCTAGGTTTTTAGTTTTACATCTGAATTTAATATAATTCCTGGAAGGATCAGACTGTTTCTAAACATAAACATAACATTTGGAACTTGAAAACAAACCTTTCCTCTCCTACAATAACATCTAACATTGTCATAAAACAGCTCGCTGAGAAGAGCTGGAAGCCCAATTTCAGGTGTTGCAAGTTTACTGCGGAAAGCTAAGGGTTAAATACTATCCACCACACTGAACCATGCTCGAAGTCTTACCTTTTAAAAGCTTAAAAAATAAAAACCATGGATCATGGACTACAATTAGACTGCCTACAGATTCTGTAAGAGAATACCACATACATGTGCATACATATGTATTTGTGCACTTCATATAGTCCCAAAGTTAAGTTGTCTCCAAGATATTTTCTACAAGAGCCTCGCCTCCAGAAAAGATAATCTCATCACTTAACTGGGGGTGAAGAGAACAGCCAAGTACTGTGCTTTTGTTCATAATTCTACCCATATAAAGAGATGACAGAAAATACCGGGAGGCAGTCTATCTCAAGTTTTTCCGTGTCAGTATAGACAAAACGGATTGTATCCTGGGATGCCCTAACTTAAAACTACTACTAATTATCTTCAAAACGTAAATTAACCTTCAGAGGCCTGGAAGATATCTTCAAAACGACAAAATTTGCCAGGAAAGCGTAGAAAACCTATCTAGTTGGTGAATAAAAGACCGAAACCAATGGCCAAAAACCGGGGGGAAAAAACTCAAAAACAAAAACAAAAACCCCAAAAATCTCATTAGTCGTTCATCGTAACCAGGGAAATGCATTTATGGCGATTGAGCATGATTAATAGTGCATACCTCTACCTGCGACCCTGGGCTGCTCCGAGCCTCGCTGCAAGACTGAGTCAATCCTGCTAACGAAACAAGAACTGAGACAAGAGTGCAGTGAGGAGGCGCCAGGGGAGCTCCCCAGCACCGACCCTGCCGCAGAAGCCCAGGGCCCGGAGACGTCTAAGTCAGCCCAACGCACTGGTGGCTGAGACCTCTTCCTCCTAACTTCCTGCTGGGGACATGTCCAGGCCTTCTCTGCACCTCCTTGCACTGGCTCCTCTCCGCCCTCGGCCCTCCCCACCCCACCCCGACACGCACACGGCACTGACCATTTCCCAGTCTGCACATGAGGCCAACACTCATGAGCACGCCCTGGCCCGGGGGGAGCGCGAAAAGCAAGCACCAAGGCTGGCGCTCGGCAGATGCACGTCAAAAGGAATCGTTCTCAAAGAAAAAAAAAAAAAACCGCTGTAAACTGCACAGACTTCGGTTACCCTCGTCTCCTCTCCCCCACACCCCTCCCTGCCCAACTCCCTGGAGGGGGGTGGGGAGGTGGCGGGCTAGAGTTTAGAGAAGGATGAAGAGCAAATAGCAGCGGGCTCTCCGTGCCCTCCAAAAACGGAAAAAAAATCTGCAAAGGAAACGCAGCGGGCGGCCCCGGTCCGACCCCCCTCCCCGTCCACCCACCCACAAACCCTCGGGTCTCGGGGGGCCGCCTCTGCCCGTGGCCTCCCGACCGCCCCCCCCCCCAGTCTTCTGGCGAACTCTTTTCACCCCCCACCCCCAAGCCCAAGGCCTAGAACCGCTTCGTACCTTAAAGTAGATCTCGTCCACCACCTCGTGGTAGGTCTTGAGCTCGTAGAGCTGTACTTTGAAGTAAGGCGACGACAGGATGTTGGTGAGGATCATGGGGTTGAGGTTCATGGTCTTCTCGTTGCCCCAGAGCGGCAGCACGTTGCCCTGCTTGCCCGAGATGGCCGGCTTGGTGCCGCCGCCGCCCTGCTGCTGTTGCTGCTGCTGGGCCGCGGCCGCCGCCGCCTGGTGCTGCGGCTGCGAATTGCCTGTCAGCGCGGGGCTGTTGTTAGCCATGTTGCGGCGGCAGGAAGGAGGGAGGGAGGCGGGAGGGGGAGGGGACCCAGCGCGATCTCTCTCTTCGGGACAACGGTCCGGGACCCTACTCCATGGAGCGCCGCCGGGAGGGCGGGGGAAGGGGGAAGCGCCTCGCTGTGCCCCCGCCGGAGGAGGGAGGGCAGCTGGGACCCCGAAGAACGGACCTCGGGCGACAGCGGACGCCCCGAAACTGGCCGCGAAAACTCCAGCACAAACCGAGCCGGCGGCCCGGGGAGCGCGATCTCTTCCGCCAACTGCCCCTGGGAACAAGATGGCGGCCAAGGCGGATGTGACGTCGCACGCCCCGGCGTGCCCAACGGGGCCGGCAGCCAATCTGAGGTGCCCAAGTGGGCCGGAGCGCCCGCCTTTCCGTTCCGCACGTTCCCGGCCGGCGGGAGTCCCTACGGTGGCCGTCCGCGCCTTGGGCTCTCAAGGCTGCACCTCGGGTCGTGAGGGACTCGGGGAGGGCGGGGAGGGCAGCGCGGGCCCGTTCTGTACGCGTCCGTGTTTGGTTTCTCGTACAAGCAGAACACTATTTTGCGCATTCGTAACTTTTGGACTCCATTTCCTCGTTTTTAGATTTCCCGAAAGGGATGTCGGTCAGGGACCACACTCCCTGTGACTCGGTTCGAGTCCCGCTGCCCCTGGCCGCCTTGGAGTGTCTGACTGGAAATCTAAATGTTATTTGATCCCGAATTTAGGTAACTGTAAGATTAGGATAACATCTTAAGAGCTGTTGTGGGCATTGAAAGAACTACGCCGGTGTAGCACCTAACAATGTCTCAGCAGCTGGTCAGGTGCCCTTTCCCCCTCCGGTTCTTCCGATCAATCTGAGTGGTAAACATTGGCTTAGGTGCAGTGAAGAGAAAGAGGGAGAGGTGGAAAATAGGTGTTAAAAAATGAGTCAGCATCGACCTCAGCTCTCGAAAAGTTGCCAGAAACGCTGCAGTGAAGCTGCATGGTGTTGAATCCTGGAGAAAGCATTGCAGAGGATGCTAAAGTTTTCCCTCAGGGGCGTGAGGTTGGGCGATTATGTGGCAGAAAACAGCCTGGACAGGAATAGAAGCAGCAAACACTAGTTTTATTAGAGGGCAAATGTGGCCTTGGACCAGAGCTTGTAGATCTGCAGGTGAAAGTGTGGAGTGGGAAATGTCTGCCATGGGAAGATAAAAACCATTAGGAATTAGACAACTGGTACATCCAAGTGTTAACAATTTGTTTACTCCCTCCAGTGAGTTTCAGGTCTGGATTCTAATGTTAGACTTTTATTATGGTCTCTGTAACCCCAACTCCTGGCTCAGCACTCTACCTCCTGTGATCCCGTGGTGCTGTTCTTGCACCGGGGTCTGTGCAATGTTTCTCCCCCTTCCTGTTTGAGCAGTTCCCAGGATTAGGGAGACAGCAGGTGTCCTAAATAGCTAGGTTGTTGGTGGTACTGATCTTGCCAGAACCATTTTGAGTTGTGAGTGTCAAAGTCGGTATTATTTTTGATATGGGACTAGTGCAGTGCATTGAGCTCATTGAGTTGCTCTCAGCTTAGCACATGTGCAGTTCACTGTTGTCCCTGCAGTCTCAAATCCTTTGCCTCACTACAGAATGGCATCTGATGTGCCACTGCTGGAGTTCTTGATCTGCTGGCTGTTATGTTTAGGGGCTACCCAGGCCTATTTTGGGTTTACCTAGGATGCCATGTTGCAATTCACTGAGTCGAAATGAGTTCACTTTGCCTTCCTACGCAAGATGGCGCCCCATTCTGCTTGTCTGGGGAGTTGGACTGTAACATCCACCCTGTTCCTGTAGTGCGTGTTTGAGATCTGCTGCTGTGTCTCTGCTCCTGGTCAAATCAAACAAACCAGCAGGACAGGCAGTTCTTTGTGTTCTCCTGAGTTCTTGGTAAACTTCCCTTCCCATCTGGTTGCTGGTTGGTGGTGGAGTTCTGGCCACTGGTATAGTTCAAATCGCCACTGGTTCAATGCTGCTGGGATATCTGGTCACTGCAATACCTTGCCATTGTTTCCACTCCTTTCCTGTGCCCCATTAGTCTCCAGGTGCCCCTCTGCCATCAATCTGTCTTCTCTTATTTCCTGTAATGTGCCCTCTCTGCTTCACCCTGGCTAATGTTTCTCTGTCCTCACCCTATTCCACCATCTTGATTCTCCTTTTTTGTGTTTTTCTTTAACAAAAAAAAGTTTATTTGAAAAGCAAAGTGACAGAAAAGGGGAGTGATAGATCTTCTATCCAGTGGTTCACTCCTTAATGGCTGCAACAGCCACACCTGGGCCCGGCCAAAGCCCAGGAGGCAGGAACTCCTTCTGGGTCTCCCAAATTGGGCATAGGGACCCAAATACTTGGGCCATCTGCCTTTGCTCTCCAGCAGGGATTCTAGTTAGCACTCAGATAGGGGATGCTGGTTTAGCAAGTGACAGCCTAACCAGGTGTGCTACTTCATCAGCCCATGGATATCTATATAATATATAATAGTTTATTGAGTTTACATAATGATATTTTATTTGCCACATGCTATGAACTTTATTATATATACATATATTATAAGGACAGTGCTTCTATCTGTTGACCACTCTGCAAATGGCTCCAGTGAATGGAGTTGAGCTAGGCTGAAGCCAGGAACATCGTCAAGTGTCCCTTTGGGTGCAGCTGTCCAAGCACTTGGGCTATATGTTCTGTTGTTTTTCCAGTTGTTTTAGTGCAGGGATCTGGTTTGAAAGTGGAGTGACTGAGACTTCAACCAGCACCCATATGGGATGCTGGCATAACAGGCAGTGGCTTAGTTTGCTATGCTACAAGGCCAGCCCATATACATACTCTTATTATGTAGTCTTGAACATTCTTTACCACTTGACTGTAAGTGGAGAACTCAATAGAGACTGCAATTTGGTATCTAGGTCTAGGATTATGAAACTCAGGGAACTGGGTATTGTTTAATGTATTCAATGGGTCTATAGAACAGCCTCAAGATACTACTATTGTCCTCGGTTAAAAAAAAAAAACAAAAACAAAAAACCAGACAACAAAAAACCACTTTATTCAAGCATAATGAAAACACTACATTTGTACATATGTGAAGCCATAAACTTCAGTTTGCTCAGTTGTGGCATACATAACTGCAGTCATTAAGGAATCACCCCAATCAATACAACAAAATTGACTCTTATAAATAAAGCTGTTGAGAACATTTGTGTGCTATTCTTTGTGTAAGTTTGTCTCTCCTGATTAAGTATGTAGAGTGAATGGGTCATATAGGAGGTGCATGTCTCACTTTTCTTTAATTAAAGATGTTTGTACAGTTTATGAATCTTCTTGTAAAACTCTGTTCAATCACTGAAGAAAAAGTTGTTTCAGGTCTTCAAAACATGATGCTAGGGCCCGGCAGCGTGGCCTAGTGGCTAAAGTCCTCACCTTGAATGTACCGGGATCCTATATGGGTGCTGGTCCTAATCCTGGCAGCTCCACTTCCCATCCAGCTCCCTGCTTGTGGCCTGGGAAAGCAGTCGAGGACGTCCCAAAGCACTGGGACCCTGCATCCATGTGGGAGACCTGGAGGAAGTTCTGGGCTCCTGCATTCAGATTGGCTGTAGCGGTCACTTGGGGAATGAATCATCAGATGGAAGATCTTCCTCTCTGTCTCTTCTCCTCTCTGTATATCTGGCTTTGCAATAAAAATAAATAAATCTTTTTTTAAAAATGATGCTAAAAACCATATGGAAACATAAGAGACCCCAGATAGATAAAGCAATCTTAAACAACTACAGCAAAGCTGCAGGTATCATAATACCAGGCTTCAAGACATGCTAAAGAAATTTGTAATTAGAATAGCCTGGTACTGGTGTAAAACAAACATGGGGATTAATGAAACAGAATGGAAATACTAGGAATCAACTCCTAAAGCTATAGCCAACTGTCTTTTGACAAGTTAACCAAAATCAATCCAAAGAGAAAGAGCAGCTTTTTCAACAAATGGTGCTTGAGAAATTGGGTCTATGTGTATTGAACAATCTTTACTTCTGTTTTTTAGCCGGCACTGGTGTTGGCTAACTTCCTGTAGTCTGTTCTTGGCTTTTCACTGTTTTCTTGAGGTGTTACAGGCCATATCTTGATTTTGTTTTTCTTGGATAATCCAAGGAATCATAAATGACACAAAAGCTGGTTATCTTTCCACCACAAAAATTGGTTCTGAATCAAAATACAACAATATCTGGTATGGTCTTGTACATTTTGGTTAATTTCTGTTTTAGGTGCTGCTGCCTTCCAGGGTAAAAGACGTTGATAATCAGTTGTTTCCTCTGAAGTAGCTAGTGGTCATGAACTTCATAGAGATAGTCACTGTGATGTTTGTTATGGCTATTAATCCTCTGATAGCCAGGGATCAAAAGAATATTGATAACTTCCTTTGACATGGCCAAATTTTCCCACATGGTTGTACCATTTCACATTCTATCAGTAGTGTTTGAGAGTTCGAGTTGCTTCATCTCCTTGTCATAGCATGTATAAAGAGTTTTTGTTTAGCTTTAAGTCATTCTAAATTGGTGTGACATGTTGCTGTGATTTTAAGAAACACAATTATACAAGATTTTTTTTGTTACATATAAAGTAGAGGGAGAGATAGACATACATGGATCTTCGTCTGTTGGTTTACTCCCCAAACGCCCACAATAGCCAGGGCTGGTTAGCGCTTAAGACCCAAACACTTGAGCCATCACCTGCAATCTCCTAGGGTTCAAATGCACAGGAAGCTGTAATCAATTCCAAGACATGTTGATAAGGGGTGAGGGCATCCCAAATAGTAGCTTACAATCTGTACTTAACAGCTGTCCTTTGTTGTAATTTTAATTTATATTTTTCTACCACTAATGATGTTGAACACCTTTTCAAGCACTTTCAAGCTCCAGCTAGATTCTAGTTTTCTGTTAAAGTAGCGTCAGAAGCAGCAATGATGGCTCCAGTTCCTGAATAAGTTCCTGACACTCGTGGGAAGCTTGGATTGAGCTTCTGGCTCCAGCTTTAGCAGCCCAATCTCAGCCATTACTTTTCTTCCTCTCAAACCAGTCATCTTTTAAATGTAAAAGAATTGTTGTATGTTAATCAGGCAATTAAATGTAATGAATTTCCAAGGACTAGACCTATCTAGTTGGAGGCATGAAAGAACAGCTATGTTTGGATCAGGTTGTCACTATTACAGCATGTAAGGTTTTTTCGGAGATTATATTAGGGACCAGTGTTCTGGCACAGTAG